CTGTGCAAAGATCAATGATTCAAGTGGATACCTTCAAAATCGTTCACTTTTAATGTTCTAAAAATTCAAAAGTAGATAACTCAATTTACCTGTAGAAAGAAAAACTGCAAACAAATAAAATATTCTTAGAATTATCAGATTTAGAAATGATTTCTGTTCTATATATGTTAAATAATTGATTGAATATCTGATAGAAATGTAGCATGTCTCATTCATGTCAAATGGTTAATGCTAGACTAAATTAACTCTGTGATTAATGTTGGGGAATAAATAAAGCTTCCAACAACAAATACTATATATAGATAAAAATCTTAATTTCTCTCTTTGAATCATAAAACTATCGCTGTTTCAATAATTACTATTGATTTATAACCAGAATCTCTTGATTATTTTTGGAAATATCGCTTTCTTCTTCAGTGTATTTTAACAATAAATTATATAACAGAACGAAAAGACAATTGTATTTTTCTTTTTCTTCATTCATCGTTCTTTATATCAAGAATGATAAACGATGAAAAAAAAAAGACATTGTCGTTTTGTTCTGTTATAAAACTTATTTTTAAAATGCATTAAAGAAGAAAGCAGATACTTTCGAAACGTTTCTAAACAAATTATTTGTCTCTAATTAGTAATAAAAATATAAAGTATTGTGGAACAGTGATTCAAACTGAAATAAGAATTGTAAAGTTCTTTCAATTGAACGCGCAACATTTGTAACTCTCAGTTTTTTTTAGACAGAGCTATGCGTAAAAATATACACTGAATAAATTAGTAAGTCACATATCCTTCAACTTCAATAGAAAGACATTAAAAGAAGATAAATAAGGAAGTAACAAAAAAAGCTCATTTATTCTTGTGCACATAAAGTGACAATAAGACATGATTCGTCTTCGGCAAACTGAAGTTAAAGACAATTTATATTTATTATAACTAGGAAATGTGCAACAGAAACTTTCTCATCAGATATTTCAAAAACTAATCGCAGGAATCTAAAGAGTTCTCAGGGTTCCAATAGAAAAGTTTACTTCTACACGTTTCCATGTTGTATAAACTCGAAAAATAAAGTTGGATACACTTTAGCTGCTGAAAAAATTGGCTTTAAAAAAAAAGGTCAAAAACCTCCCAAAAGTGGACACTTTTGAAAGATCCCTTGGGTGTTCACTATAGAGAGGTTTTCGGCTTGTCCACGTAACGCGACACTTCGCTGATCAAGTTTTGAAAAAATTATTTTTCGAATTGGACAGATCTCAGTGGGGTACTAGATGCAGTTTTTTACGCTGATTACGAATTTGGTATTAATTTTGTATAAAAATCAGATTTTGATATCGAAAACTGGATTTTAAAGTTTTCAAAAACCGTATTTTGGATTTTTTGACCAAGAAATTTTTTCAACAAAGGTCAAGAGACATACCATTCGATGCAGAATTAAATTCTCTACAAAATGGTCTATTTAGTTTTGACTTTGGCAGCTTAGAACAAATTGAAGACTTCGATACAATTCCCAACTTTCTGCTCAGTTTATGAGCTCTCAGATCGATGTATCAATCTCATTTTTGCATAGGGGATTGTCTACATAGAAAACAATAACACTTATAAAAATCAAGTCATTCTGAGTACATTAAGTGCCTCAAAATTGGCCAACAAAAAACTGTGTAACAGCGTTACGAAAAACGTAACAGCGTTACGTTTGTTTTTTGCATTTTTTATCTGAGCAAAAATATTTTAGAGAAAATGTCTTTTACTGCCTGAAAGCCTATTCAATGCTCTACAAAGATGACTCTCGGAGCATTACATTTGAAGAAATGGTTTCGCAAGAATTTAGAGTTTTCTTGGCGGCACTGGAAAAAAAGGGTCCTTTTATGTAACAGCGTTACGCCATGATAAAACCTTTCTAGATGCCTGTGACTTCAGTCAAAAAAGGCCATTTTTATACGATAAATAAAGTTCGATAAGCTGCGTCGAATGACGTTTGAACGAACTTCCTAGCTCTTAAACTTTTCGAGATAGTTGAAGAAGAATGTGTCAAAAACGTAACAGCGTTACGTTTGGACAAGCCGTTTTACTGTATTATACAACATAAGACTGCACGAGCATCGAAGAAAATTCAAACAGAAGTGAAGAGTGTTCTGAATAGAAAAATATATTCTCTACAAATACGACTATATTACACTTGAATAATGATTTACGAAGAGATAGATGATAATGAACTTATCCTTGTCAATAAAGTCTGGTTGAACTGCTTTCTTTTATATTGTTTTTTGAACTTTGACAAATATAATTTCTTTTTTGGCTTCATGTCAGTCTTTTTCTTTGGTCTAATAATTCTTATGTCAACCATCACAAAATATTCTATATGCATAGCTTCACAGGACATAGGTGTTGTTTTCTTCTGAACCGAAACATCCACATCCACATTTTTTCTCTGTAGATTTTACCACAGTCATTACTTGATTCGTGTATGGGTGTGGGTGTACCATCGATGATACACCCACACTCTTTATAGTAAAAATAGCAACTTTTTTTGTGTTTTTTCGACGTTCATTCCAATAGAGTCAAGAAGACTTTTTTCACATATAAGAATATGTGAGAAAAACGTTGAAATGATTTATTCGATTTTCGATTCTTGTTGGGAAAAAGCAGAACAATAAAGATCTCTAATTTCAATGTTGACTAATTATTAATTTCCAAAGCGTAGTTGAAATTTTTTTCTTGCGTTCTGTCATATCTATGAGAAGTGATGTACGTAAACAGCTGTTTGATGATGTATTGAAGAAATAAGAGACAAGGAAAAGTGCAGATGACAGTGATGATATACGATAAACAAAAAAGAGAAAAGCGAGCACATAAAATGAGTGTGAAGAGAAGTAACCATCTCCAATATTGGTCATTTCGAAAGATCTCTGCCAACATGCGTGTGCTTAGTTCAACATAATTCTATCTAAATAGGAACTAAATCATATGGAAAAAAAAGTGTCAATTGTGAAAAAAGAAAAATAGGCAAAGGCACAAGTATGCAAAGGAAATAGCAAATTCGACTGGACATAATGTTGCAAAAATTTCGTTTGAAAGAAACTGAACGATATATGATTTTATGATTTTCAATGCGAATAAATTTTTGAGCACATACAATCCGATCACTAAATAACCAATGAGACGAACTACTTTCAGAATGTAATCTTGTCGTTGCCGTAATTGAATACATTGGTGGTAGGGAATTCGCGTGAACGTGACCATATTATATAGAGGAATCCACCAGTGAGGCATTAATCTATATAGCAAATTATCAATCTTCTTGCGCCATACAAACGAATGTTGTGTAACCAAGTGACTTAATTCACGATAGTTGTACATTGATAAATCAGCTATGGCATGAGCATCAGGCACGCGAATATGACTAAAAAAGAGAAGCTTAGCATAGATTCTCAAATATATAAAACAAATGGTCATCCTTTTTAGAGCATACGTCTGTTCATGTTTTGCAAGTGATATGCAAAGAAGGAATGACAAACAACCTCCTCGAAATTTAAATTATTTTTTCAGACAGTAAGCAGTCTTGCATAATGCAAAAAATAAACCTGAGAATAGTAAGAAAACCGGTAATTATCACAAATTACTTTCGAAGAATTACTCATGTTATCTAAACGATCTCTACTAAATGGGTATTTAATTTAGATAGCGATCTTCTCAATATTTCATGCATACTTTATCAGATTTTCCTTGAACAGTTCAGAATAAGTAACTTTCTAAAATATGTTTCAATTCTTTCATCAAATCCACTTTTAATATCATTTTGTGCTACTTAATAGCATAAATAAGCTCATTCAAAATGAGTTTAATTGAACGATACATTTGACAACAATGATAGAGACGAATATTTCGCATTTTATTGTTCTTTTAATCAATAATGTAAACTAACGGATGGTGTAGACGAAATAGCTAGCTTTAGATAGGCTGTTTTCTCAAGCTAGATTGGATGATTATGTTTCGTACTGATGTTAAAAGATAAACGCATCTTATTGATATGATCTTGTCAAAATGAACATTTGTCCTTGTCTTGTAATATTAAAGGTACGGGATATGACAACAAAATCAACTGCTCAACAATAAAAATCAGAAACTTTTAAAAACTCAATTCTAGTTCAGTTAGTTTTAGTTCAAAATTTCTTCTTGATATGAAGTGATGCAGAATTTTTCGATGCATCTAGTGATGTGTTGGATTTTATATGTTTCATTGTTTCTGTTTCAAAAAACACAATACATTATCAGAAAACATTCTCGGTCAACAGAATTATACTTTTCGTTGGCAATTTTCTCAACACTTGAATTTACAAAAATCTATTATTTTTATGTCAACAGATGCAGAATTTCAGCATCTACAGAATGCTCTTCATTATAAGAGCTGAATTGCTTATCTAACCTAGTGATAAGGCTGAAATCTATTTTTTCACATAAAAAAGTGCGACAGATGAAATAAGAACTACCCGAAATTCTTTAACTTTTAATATCAAAACGAAACTTTCGCATCCAATCTAAGTAAAGAAAACAGCCTATCAAAAGTCGGCTATTTTTTCTGTGCCACCCGTTACAGAGTCATCGCAAGCCGGTATGAAGACAATATTACTTACTCTTGTTATACAGAGCACTTTACAATTAAATACTTCAATTAAAAAAATGTGAAGTGATTTCAACGCAATAACACTTCTATAAGAGAATATTCAGGAGAAAGTCGTGCCAGACCTCAAACTAATTGAGAGAATCAATCGATTGGATTTTTTCAAAGTTATTCAAATTTTAATACTGTTTTTGGTTGAAATCGATGCAACAGTCATGTTTTCCAGGTGAAAAAACCGAAAAGGGTGTGAATGTAGATAAAGTTTAATTAGCGAAAGCTGACAGAAATATTCATGAACTATTGAAATTGCCATCGTACAAATAACTATCTGTACTATAGAGATTCCTTAGCCAGATATCGTCATTCGTTTAGATCAAATCGTATTTACTCACTTGTAAGCAATAAACGCTTTTTGAATATCAAAATTTGTTTGTTTTAATGTTTCGAATAAGACAAGACAATCTTCAAATGCTGCATTCATTCCTTGAGCATAGAATGGAGCTATCGAATGAGCTGCATCACCCATTAGAAGCATGTCACCAGTTGATGACACATATGTTGAACATTTAATAGTGATTAGAGAACGTGGTTTCGAAGAAAGAAGTGTCTTGATAATATTATCTGATCCGACAAATGATAGAACATCAGGAAAATATTGTTGAAAGAATTGTAAAATTTCTTCGGATTTCGATAGACTATTAAAAATAGACATCGGTAAAATAAGTGTAGCATTGAACGATTTATCTTGATTGGGTGAAGCAATAATAACAAATTTATGACGTGGCCATATATGTAAATAATTTTCAGGCATAGCAAACTGTATGAAAGAGAAAGAAATTTTGACATTACTCTTTATTCATGAATTCATACCTGATCATCTCTTGAAGGTATGTCAATTTCCATATAGTACAAATCAAGATATTCTTGAGTGAAGTTTATTCTCTCTGTTTTCATCATAGTCGTTCGAACAGATGAATAGCATCTAATGAAATTTGATAAAGCTCATTTTAAATATGTCTTATTTTCTTATTTTTACCCATCAAAACCAATAATAAAATCAACATTAAAATTAACTTGCTTACCGGACGAACTACATTTTGGAAAATCTTTTTAACTTAATTATTTAACAAAATAACGTACACGTAAAAATATGCTTCTTTCGTATCCCTATTCCAACGGATAAATTTATGCTCAAAATGAATCGTAATATTAGATGATTTGCTCGCTTCTAGAGAGATATGATTATTGTTTGAAATAAGTATTGAGAAAATCAGAATCGTTTACCGTCAAGTAAACATTTGTTGAGAATATCACGCTGAACCGATAGAATCATCTAAAACACAAATGAAATGATCATATGAAAAGAATATACTAAATATAGGTTGGACAACGAACATGATTAGAATCCATTCCGTAGGGTCCATAAGGCAATACACATGTACGACCATTTTCATCGTGCATCATTCGTGCATATAGCGGTACACCGGTTCTAACAATCATCTTTTCACAATTGATATAGGCAAGAGCATCACGACCTCGACGCGATAATGCCATATTGATAGTGCGTCCTCGAACTGTCGTCTCTCGAGTGCGTGTATCTAAAGATTCAAATAAAATACTCGTTGAATCCAACAAAACGAAAGAAAGACCTGGTCTGAGCTCGAAAAGATGTACTTGAAAACCATGTTTAGCGAAGAAACATGCACATAAAGAACCACCCTACAAGTGTGCAGATTTTTAGTGCAGAAAATCAAATCCATCACATACGAGGCCACCACCAATGATAGCAATAGTCGAAGAGTGAAGATTCAAACGATTGGCTGACATAATTCTAAAGAGAATTAAAAGTTTATATATTCTGACAAGTGTAAACTGCTTATGTAAATGATCTTAAAACGTTTTGTATTCTGTAAATCGATTGTATATATGTTTAGACTTTTTTATAACTGCATTTCTCGTAACACTACTCTAGTGAATGTATAGACAAAGGTGATACCCGAAAGTAGGACTCGCTGAGACTTGACAAAGTCCTAAAGGATATGGACCCATGACCTATTTATCCAAAGGTTAGACAATTTTACTGAACTTTTATGTATTGCACGATATTGCCCGAAAATCGAATGACGTAATTTCAAACTGACAATTCGTCCGTACATAGATAGGTCTACAGGTCGTTAGAATATTTCTTTGTCAAGATATTGAATTTTCAAGTAAACTCGATTATTGTGATTGGTCTGTGACAAGCGAGCATGTTTGATAACTCAGTAACTCGACACAGCAACATAGGTTTCGGCTGAAACGTTTAAAACATTTCAAGAGTCTTTAGATCTATCCGTAGACAAAACGTCTGATTAAATTTCTGCCATTCGGATTCTCGCACAATAGAATGCGAAAAATTCAGTGGAGCGGTCAAAACTGATGACCAATAGACCATCGACTCTTATCTTTTTGAAATTTTTCTAATCTTACCAAGTCCTATTTGCGAGCAAAATATCAGCTCAAAATCGAAGAAACAATTCGGATATTTCTCTCGTGCAAATGTCGCTGCAGGATACTGGACCAACTTGCTGTGACATACTGGGTGGTAGGGTACTTTTTTTAGGTACCCTAAACTAGTTACTTTCGATAGGGTAGAACTAAGTATGCATGTGTGCCCTTGCAAGAAAAGACCCACTATTCTTCGAAGATGGATATTGTTCAATACGACAGAGTGAATGACTATTAAGGCGGAAAAAGTTGATTTGTAGATCCCGAAGGTTTCAAAGATTCTTCAAGATTCAACCTTGAGAATCTAGTTTTTTCCTTTGAAATTTTCTCACAAATCTAGTCTCAAAGATAAATTGATGTTGCTGTTGCCACAGATGTCTCAGTAACGTTATTCAATCAATTACTTAAACCAAATAACATTTCACTTCTCTGTGAAACTGACCCATCATTTTCTTGCTTTCAATAGTTTAAAGCTGATAAGGAAACATTTCCAACTTTCTAACATCTTTTTAGCTAATATGTTCACTTATCTAAACTGCAAAAATGGAAAGTAATTTGGTCGATACATTCATTTTGCTACACACTCCTATTTACAATTTTTCAAAACTAGAGCGACGGCACGGAGAGATAGTAATAGGTTGTTTTGATAAAGGTATCAATTTTCACTTTCTCTTTTCGTATGAAATGGTGATTAGAAGGATTAATCTATTTTTGACTGTGCATCGTAAATAGATTTCTCGTCACAGAAAAAAAGAACGTGCTTTCGATCACGAATAGCTATTAAAATAGGCAGTCATATATGATGACTATTGAAGCTTGAGACTTTGTCTTTTGCTATCAAATTTTGTATTATCGAGTCAAACAATAGATCGATCGATTAACGCAAAAGGAAACTTTGATCTCATGGCCTAACCAGAAGGGCTCCGCGTGAGACAGAATGACACGTCCCATGCGATAAGCTATTCTTTTTTATAAAGTGCAGACTAACGATTCATTGAATCACAACGAGAAAGAAGGTAGAGGACAATAGAATAGTAAAGAAAAAGGCGCAGCAGAAGAAAATGGAGAGGGAACTTTGTTGCTTATATAGTAAAAATAAAACCACTTTACAACGTTCACAATAGATCCAGCAAAGTTCTTTACTTTTGTCTTTTGATCATTTTTTACTCGCAGGCAAATGCATACATGGAATTAGTCCGTTCGTTGATAGAAATGACTTGAGGGTGGATGTGGATGCAAGTGTAGAAAAGATTCATACACACACCAACACCCACATCCATATTTTAAAAATAATTCCTGCGTTAGAAGGTAGAGAAAAGCGATTGTTTCTATTTGATAGGACTTTTTCATGAAAGAGGACGATGTTTATTTTATTTATTAGGTTATTTTAAATGCCACACAACTTTTCTTAAAAAAGATGAATGCTTTTTTAATCAACAAATATAGCACTATGGTGAATGAAAAGTATCGGAAAAAAAGATAAAAATCTTGCCTAATTGTTTTTCTCTTTCAGAAAAAGGAAAAAAAAAAGACTCATTTCATTTAAAGCGTCTACTGTTGTCATCCGTAACGACAAATAAAGATCTATTTGACAAATATGACTCAGCAATTAATGTCGTTCACTGTTTCCAAAGTGAGATGCTATTCATTGACAATTATTCCTTTAATAGAAGGAGTTGAATATTTGTTTTGTAAAACAATGTCAATATTAACACAAAAAATCTGGTCTACTTTTTTTTTATTTGATCTCGTTTTTTATATAAATAAATATGAGTTTTCAAAGATAATTACATTACCTGAAGCCATAAAAGCGAAATCAATTGAATAAAAGAAACACACTCAGTAGCACGGCTGAATCCTATTGAGATTTGATGTCTGTTTTTTTTTGTCTAAGACTTTGCAAGATGTTCAGAAAAAAAGGATATAATTAAAAACTATTGAAAGAAGTCGTTTAGGAAACCAGATGTGTTTAACAAATATATAATCATTAATTATTTGTCTTTGAATTGTTGTGATAATCAGCTGCTAAGTATTCACGCTCATTTTTCGAAATATATGTCATGGATAGATTATCAATCCATAATAAAACACGTCACTTGGAGCAATTCTAATTTAATGCATATCATCGGTGTACGAACACTAAATTTTCAAAGTAAAATCAAATTACGTATTTGATTCAATAACAACAAAAGCATAAGTATTATAAACAAATTTATTTGAATGAACAAGAATTTCATTCCTGTTATCTCATAGATCTAATTTAATCAGTACTCTATAGTCTTGCTTGAAATCGGAAATATGACAAGTGAACAATTGGGTGCGAGAACAGACATAACATCTACTCATTGTTCAACCAATATGAACAAGTTGAATAATTTCCTTTTTTTATTGGTAAGGTTTCTATATCAATTTCTACTAAAGCTTGCCAATCATTTCAATTTTCTATTATGGTGAACATCATGTTGATGATGATTTTGTACTAAACTTGACTAGTGAGAAAATCCTTGAACTTATTCAGTTTCATCGAATCAATCCGATAAGAAATTGTATTTGAAAAATTTTCCATACGTATCAATGCGACTATTTGGTCTTCGAACGAATTTCAGTGGTTAATTCTTTACTGGGATGTGGGTTTGAGGTACTAATATTCCTGTTGTGTACATACAGACTGTTCTCTTAAGCTTGTCTTATACTAATAAAGGAATAATTGAAGACAGTGAAATGCTTTAATCTAAGTTGATATTTAGCATTGAACAATTTAGTCTAGTTATTATCCCGTTAAGTGAATGGAATTATTTTGCCATGTTAACACTTGAGTATAAAATTGTATTCTGAATTGTAAATTAAACAGCATTTAAAATTAGAAAGGATTATTTGACTTCGTTCAATCCTTCATATATACTAAATAAATAATTTAACTTCATATTAGAGAATAATCGATTTATCTTCTAATATAATACTTCAAGCTTGATCTTAAGTGGCAATCTTCTACGATTATATGCCAATAAATGTAATATATCTCTATGTGAAATCCGAAATAAAATTCTTTAAGACGTTGTATAATTAAGTGAGGCAGCAATGATTAGTTCTGACATGTGAAATGTATATAGGCTATATACTATTATAATTTTATTTCGTATTTTCCTTAGATCACATTAGAATTTGTTAATAATATACAAATAGTAATGATCTCGACCTAAGAGAATGTCAAGAATTAATCACACATAATACTTTGTTCTAATTTTATACAAAAACTGTCAGCCAATCCTTAATGTTCTTTCACTAATCGAGTATTGAAAAGAATATGTCCCACTAATCGATGTATGCCAAAATTAAATAATCGTTGATCCTTATCGTTAAAATACTCTTCTGTGGATTTAATATTTGAGAACTTGTCCCAAATTTATTCTTGCTAA